GAGTAGGAGTAGGAGTAGGAGTGGTGTCGTCGTCGTGGTGGTGCGGTGCGGGTACGGGTGCTATTGATGAGACCTGTGCGCGTAATCACTCGCCTACCCGCTGCAGGACTGCATCAATATTGTGTGTAATGGCCCCCATAGCAACCACGAACATACCCTCGGTTATCCGTGCAGCGAATGATGCCGCGGGCCTCTGAGTTGGCCGAAAGGTAGAAGAGTCGAGGTGCGGTGAACTGATCTTCTAGGAATCGTCACATTCCCCAAAGCCCTGCATCCCAAAAGCTCCAAGTCATCGAAGTCGCAAGGTCCCAGAAGCCAACCCGAAAGTCCTTCTGAAGCCGGCAGTCTGCAATTCGGGCGCATTCCCGTTTCGACGGCCCAGAGCCTGAAGCACTGTACATGGTTTGCCCCACCCAGGGCCAAGGTTGAAAGTTGAGATGTGGGGAGCTTCTCGAAAGTGCTTCCCGGCAGGCTCGAGGGCTTTCGAAGGGGTGCTGCCAGCTGCCAGTAAAGAAAAGGCTCTGTATTGCCTTAAGACTGCCGTGCAGAACACCCACCACGCTGCGCCGGGCTGTGGAAAGAACGGGGAGCCCTGACGCACAAGCTGCTTGCATGCGTGTCAGAAAAATGCCTTGCCCGATCCACATCTAGCCTGAGAGAAGGAGCGCAATGTGTAAATCTTCTCCGACTCTGATCGTGGGGTTTCTCGAAGAGTACGAACACCGACCCACCTCCGTGCAAAGCCCTTTTCCCTCAAAGCCCAAAGCCTTCAATCGCTGAACCCTCTCTGGAACATTTCCCGGCCCTGAACCCTCTGCAGCAACCGAGCTCCGAATCCATAAATCTCTAAACCTGTGATGGCCTGGCGGTGCCATCTTTGGACCCGGTTGCCAGGACAGAACCAACCTCCCAGGCAAACTCAAGGGGCGAGAAGGAACCAAACAGAGGGGTTCAGGTCTGGCAGTTCAGTCTCATAGGGTTTAGGCTGAACAGCGATTTTGGCCTATGGATTGCAGTCTCAGTTGTTAGGATTTCGCCAGTTGAGTAGTGACGGGGCGGCAGAGCCCGTTGGCCCTTGGCTTGAATGATTTGAATATAGCAAAAATCTAAAGACTCTGATGACCACCCCTGTTGCCGGCAAGAGTCTTGCACAGCAAGAACCAAGAGATCTCCATTCGCCACCTCAAGGGCTGCACTCTTGTTAGCGTTTTCAGCGAAGCAGGCACTTACGGAGACACAGAGAATGACACATTTCCTAACAGGGAAAGCCCTGTCAAACAAGAGAACCCCAGCTGCTGGGAAAACCCTATCGAACATCTAACAGACAAAACCATCTAATGGGACAACCCTGTTTGACAGAAAATCCCATCTAATAGGAAAAACCCTATCGCACAGGAAAAACCCTCGACTAGAACAACTTTGTGTACCTATCTAACCCCGGCAACAAAGCAGTGGACTCAGTGGCGTCGAAAGGAACAAACGGAATTTAAGGGGGTCACAGGAGCAGGCTGGCGCTTCCTACTACCGCTACTACTACTACGACGACGACGACGACCACGACGACGACGACTACTACTACTACTACTACTACTACTACTGTTACTGCTACTATACTACTATGACTACCACTACTACTACGACTACTAGGACTACGACTACTACAACTACCTCTGCCCCTACCACTACCACTACCACTACCACTACTACCAACACCACTACTGCTGCGATTGAATGTCTTATGCTGCTAGTACTACGACTAGCACGACTGAGGTGCCACTGCGAATGCACCTACAAGCACGACTGCGACTACAATGCCTGCGAAAAGATTCGAATATTCGATATTCAAAAATTTGATTTTCAATTTTCCGCATTTTCTAAAGGAAACCAAACACGCATTACTTCGACAACTCTAACTCAAATCGAAGTTGGAATTTTCATGTTGTCGATTTTTCGACAAACGAAACCACACAAAAATGAATTGGACAATTCAACACTTCGACAAATCGAAAGTTCGAGTTTGAGCGTTTCTGTTGCCGAGACGAAACAAAGCACAACTTAAACATATAATTTCAATTATTCTCGTTTTCCGGTTGACAAAAAAGTCCGAATTTGAGATTTTTCGGGTTTTCGGGTGCCCGTCACCTTTGGGTGCGCAACACACAAAACCACAGCGCAGAAACCCTAAAGCACCGAACACTAAAACCCTGCCTCTAGAGCCCGGCGATTCGAGTTTGAATCACTTTTTCAGCGAGTCGGGATTCGGGTTCAGAGTACCAGCTTCGGAGTTGCCACAAAGCCGCGTGGCCGTGCTTAGAGACACCAGGCCTTTTGACAGGGCCTGAACCTCAAATCCTGTTCTAAGCCTAAACTCCATAACTTCCTACTACCCTCGTGCCCCAAACGCTATTGCTCTGACTCTAATGCCCTGAACCCACTCCCCTTAACCCTCATAAACCCTAATCACTAAACCCTACTACCCCTAGCCTTGCCTCAGCTAAAGCCCAAACTTTGAGCCAAGCACCTCCATTTTGTGTATCAGCCGGGGATCATAGCAGGATCTTCCAATGGTGGACCACTTCGTCCTGAGGCCACCGTACCTGCTTGTTGGTTTGAGGGTTTTGGCTTTAGGCTGTCGGATCTAGTAGTTAGTAGGGTTCGATTCAGGCTAGTAGATGCTGGATGATGTTTGTCAGGACTCGTGTCAAAACCGCTATAGCCGCTAGTGCTGCAAGCGGTTCAAACAGCGGCCGCTGCTGTTGTTGCGGTCGAAAGTCGCGGAAGCCATCAGGATTCTCTCTTGCATGAGACCCCTTCGCCCCCATGACGCCGAACATGAGATTCTGACAAGTTAGCTTCCCTTGCTTCGACATACCTGTGTGCCTGTAGCATAACATGGCCTACTCTACTTCACCCTAAACCCTAAACCCTAAACCCTAAACCCTAAACCCTAAACCCTAAACCCTAAACCCTAAACCCCAATCCCTCTACTTCTGTGAAGCCTACCTATACTGCGACTGTCGGAGCGAGGCTTCTGCCCATGGGCCACATCAAGTCGACCACGGAAAAAGATGAGGACCAGACCCCTCATATAGAACAAACCCTAAACCCTAAACCCTAAACCCTAAACCCTAAACCCTAAACCCTAAACCCTAAACCCGAAAGCCTAAAGCCTAAACAGTCATCGAATCCTTGGGATTCCTTAACATCATCATGCTGCAATGTAGGTTTGGGGCTCCAGTTTTAAGGTGAACCCTAAACCCCAAGCCCGTAATCGTAAAATCGTACATGGGTTTTGTCCAAGTTACAGTAGTCGTTCTGTGCGAGGTTCCTGCTCAAAGATAGGTTTTTCTGCAGCCAGCAGAGACCACATTTCTGAGACCTAAGTTGCAAACAGGAGTGGTACTTTGAGCTGGGTTTGCGGTATAGGGTGTAGGAGTTTAGGGCTTAGGGGTTTGTAGAGTTTAGGGTTTCAGGTTCAAAGCGTAAGTTTACGGCTTAGGGTCTGGGGTTCGGGCTTAGGGAGAGCCCGAAAACCCGGCCTGCCAGGACTTCCTGAGGGCTTTCGAGAAGTCGCCGAAGTGGCTGCGCTTCACCGCGTGAGTCAAAGTGTGAGCTGTTTGATATTTCCTTGGCAGGTTGACCTCCAGGGGCCCATTCTGGGTTTCGTTCAGGGTTTTTTGGTTAGATGTTGCTTCAGCCAGGGTTCAGGGGTGCAAGTTTAGCATTCAGGGTTTGGAGGTTCGGTTGCGTTGCGGTTTTGGGATCTTCGGTTTCCGTCCACCTGGCCAAGACGAACAGCTGCCCGAGCCCGCCACACATGGGAGTTTCCGAAAACTAGGGGTACCTTATTTTGGGGTCCTTATAATAAGGATCCTACTATTTAGGGTACTATGTTAGGGTCCCCTATTTTCGGAAATCCCCACATGTGCATACCCTTCGGTCGCGGCTCGCGGCGAATTCGCTCTGCCGGCTCCCACCACACAAGTCACCAGAACAGGGCGGGAGGCCCTGTGCGTATGCGGCATCACCATCCCTCATCCAAGCCCGACGATGCAAAAGCCCTAAGAGAATCCCTGGGCTTTTTTCAATTCGAAGCAGGTGTGCGACGAGTGCAATATTAGAGCTCCATATTTGGCTATGGTATTCTATTGTAATCTCGAGATGGTAAAAGCAACGCATCTCCCAAGCTCTTATCGTGTGATCGCTGAATTCGCACTCAAGTGTGTGAGTTTCTTCCTACTTTGATGTTCCAGGCTCAGAGTTTAGAGGTTTCGGGGTTCAGGGCTTACGGGCTGGGAGGTTCCATAGGGAGGTTCAGCCTTTTGGATGTTTAGGGGAGGAGTGCTAGGGTGGGCACAAGCCGGAAACCTTCTTCTCGAAGTCCTAAACCCTAAACCCTAAACCCCAAAACCCCAAACTTAAAAGGGGCGGGCGGGGTTTGTATTCAAGGCCAACGAGTTGGGCTCTCGTTTTCGTTTGTGCAGGTGAGTGGTGGAACCTCATAGCCCTCTCTATGTCTCAGTATCTAGTAATGATATATCACTAGGGTCCCTATATCCTGGATGCTCTATCACACCAAAACCCTAGTGTAGACCCTAAGCCCTAAACCCTAAACCCTAAACCGTAGACCCTTTTGGATGCAACGTGAGGTGGGCTTGTCCTGCAGCTTTAAAGATCCCACGGTGCTTTGGATCACCGGATGCATTGTAGCTTCAAGACCTCAGTGGTCACCGTAGGGGCCAAAACTGCTGGGCCTTGAGTGTTTTTGGCACACCAAGCTCCCCTTCATGACGCATGGTACATACGTACTGAGAAATTTGCACGAAACCTTCCGATTCCGGCCCCAGACAAAGACCTCAAAGACCAGCTGGAGATTCGGGCCCCTTGCAACAACTGCTGGGTGTTGGTCCAGCCTCTGACAACTACCGCCAGGAAGGAAGAAAAAGGTCAGAGGTCCAGAAAGCTTTTTACCCTAAGCCTTAAACATTCCCTACTTGGAGGATCATGGGAC